GATTAAAGGCGTGTGCCACCACCGCCGGCTCAACCTGCTTTCTTTTATCACTCAGGACCACCTGCCCAGGGGTAGCACCACTCACAATAGGCTGGGCCCTCCCACATCTGTCCTTAATCAAGAAAATTCCCCCACAGACCTACCTAAAGGCCAATCTGATGGGATATTTTCTTATTTGGGGTTCCTTCTTCTCAGATGTCTCCAAATTGTGTCAAATTGGCCAAAACAAAACAAAATAAAAAGAAAACAAAAACAAACAAATGCTGCACGATTCCTAAATGGTCTTATAATAAAAACCCAGAGCCAGATATTGGGGGTAAATGCTGAAAAATCAGAGAAAAAAAGCCACAGATACTTTTCACCTCGCCAACTCCTCCACAAATCCAGACTGAATGCTTCCGAGTCCTCAGCCGAAAGGCTCTCTAGTTCCTGTCTCCTCACACCTTATGTCTTTCCCCACCCAGCCCTATCACTTCCTATCTCAACCTTCCCAGTGCTGGGATTAAAGGCGTGTGTACTTCCCAAATAATGGTAACAAAGGCATGAGATCTCAAGTGCTGGGATTAAAGGTGTGTGTCACCATTGCCTGGCTCTGTTTCTCTCCTAAACTGAGTCAATCTCATGTAGCCCAAGTGGCCTAGAGATGGATCTCTGCCTCCCGAGTGCTAGGATTAAAGGTGTGTGCCACCACTGCCTGACTTCTGTTTAACTCTGTGGCTGGCTCTGTCCTCTGATCTTTAGGAAAGCTTTACTTCTTAGATTACAAATACCACAAACAAACAAACAAACACTAGCCAGCACAGTCATCTTTTCCCTTCAATAACTGATCATTTCCTAAAAACAGGACTGTTTTCCACATCCACAATGCACCTGTCATATCAGGAACTTAACACCACTTGTTTGCCATTACTCAGAGTTCACCAGTGGCTCCAACAATGCCCTCTGCCAAGTCCCTGGGTTTGGGCCCCCCTTTTTATCTGGAGCAGCTTCAAGGTTACCCTGTATTTGAAGAACAGGTGTGTTTCTGAAGGGCCCAGGACAGGCAGTTTTGCAGAACGTCCATTGATTTTGATTTGTGTGCTCTTCCATCCTCTTGGCCAGACCCAGGGAATGACATACTCTGCCTGAAGGCCATGACAGGGATGCTGAGTTTATGCCCCACTTCTGTGAGGGATTGTATTGTCTCCTGGCTGATGTTAACTTTCTGTTTTGTTTTCGACAAGATTTCACATAGTCCAGACTAACCTAAGAAAACACCATTGCTATACAGCCAGTGGTGACCTTGAACTTCTGGTCCCGTCTCCACCTCCTGAGTTCTGGGATGACAGTTTATACGGTACCACAGGCTTCATACACCCTTGGCCTGCATGCTGTCAACTGGGCTCCATCTCCAGCCCTGGTGCCAACTCTGACAGCATGGCTGGGGTAACCCGCCTTTCTGTCTCCCTGAGACGGTACCCCTGCCAGGTCCCCTGCCACTCATCGTAATTACTCAGTTATCTTGTGACCTGACAACCACGGAGATACTTTGGTCTTTCACACTCTAATATCAACATTGAACCAAATTTTATTGACAAGTGTCACCAAATAATATGTAGAGAAAACCCTTGTTCACACAACGCCCCGTGAGGCTATCCTCACCATGTCAGAGCAAAATCCCAGCTTTTTCTTTTTCTCCTACTTGATTTACAAGTCACTAATTCGGACGATACACAGTTGAGCGGTGGTACCCTAAGGTCCTGGACAGGAAAGAAGATATTTTACAGAGATGACTGTGTCTCCCCATTTGGCCATCAAAAATCAAAGGCAATAGACTCCAAGGAATTGGAATTCCCTCAGGAGTTAAATGCTGAAAGAATAGCAATAAGAGGGCAGCTTGGGGCTGGAGAGATGACTCAGCGGTTAAGATCACTGACTGTTCTTCCAGGTCCTGAGTTCAATTCCCAGCAACCAAATGGTGGCTCACAATCACCTAATTAGATCTGGTGCGCTCTTCTAGTGTGCAGGCATACATGCAGATGGAATACTGTATACATAATAAATAAATAAATAAATAAATAAATAGGGCAGCTTGTCCCCCACAAAGAGATTTCACTCAGTTCTACTTATAAGACCTCTTTGCAGGAGAAACCTAAGAAGAGACCATAACGATGGGCAGGACCACACCTTGATCAGACTGCTTTGCTCTGGAATAATCCTCTTGTACACTGTAAAGATTTGTTACTCGAATTGGTTTAATAAAATGCTGATTGGCCAGTAGCCAGGCAGGAAGTATAGGCAGGGCAAACAAACTAAGAATGCTGGGAACAAGAAGGGCAGTCAGGAGTTGCCAGCCAGACACAGAGGAAGTAAGATGAGAATGCCATACTGAGAAAGGGTATTAAGCCATGTGGCTAAATATAGATAAGAATTATGGGTTAATTTAAGTGTACGAACTACTCAGTGATAAGCCTGAGCTACCGGCCATGCATTTATAAGTAATATTAAACCTATAAGTCAATTATTTGGAAAGCGGCTGCTGGGTATTTGGGAGTTGCTGGTGGGACAGAAACCTCTGATTACACTGCTTAGCTGTGCACACCTCTGACCTCCATTCAAACCTAAACTTCAGGCTATTGACATGGCTGCCCCAGTAAAGGCACACAAGTCCCATAGCCTTAAAAAGCCAGATGCAGCCGGGCGGTGGTGGCGCACGCCTTTAATCCCAGCACTCGGGAGGCAGAGCCAGGCGGATCTCTGTGAGTTCGAGGCCAGCCTGGGCTACCAAGCGAGTCCCAGGAAAGGCGCAAAGCTACACAGAGAAACCCTGTCTCGAAAAACCAAAAAAAAAAAAAAAAAAAAAAAAAAAAAAAAAAAGCCAGATGCAGCTGTGGGGTGCAGATCTAGTCATGGAACTCATGGCAAGAAGCTTACAGACCAGTTAGCCTGGAATGCAGAGAAACAAGAAGACCCTGCCTCAGCAAGGCAGAACCAGAGGAAACCCTGCTTCAGAAAGGTGGAAGGCAAAAACCAACTCCTATAAGTTGTCCTTGAACCTCCACATGTGTGCCGTAGTATGTATACCTACCACATGGAATAATTAAAAGAGAAACTTCGCCGGGCGGTGGTGGCGCACGCCTTTAATCCCAGCACTCAGGAGGCAGAGGCAGGCGGATCTGTGAGTTCGAGGCCAGCCTGGTCTACAGAGCGAGATCCAGGAAAGGCGCAAAGCTACACAGAGAAACCCTGTCTCGAAAAACCAAAAAAAAAAAAAGAGAAACTTCATGTTGGAGTCCCCTGAAGACAGACTGGTGGGTCATTGGGCTTCCTCGGTCCTCTTCCCAAGGTGGCCACTTTGAATAAACCCCTTTTCCAGTTTTCACTATTAATTTTAATTGGCCTATTGAGTGTGGGCAATTTTGGTCTGTTAGGGCTGTCAGGCCCCAGACTGTGAACCTAACTGGGGTAACGGTACATTATCAGTCAGTCTTGGGGGGTTGCTGGAGGTAGTGACTCATGTCAGTGTCATGATATAAGCTGTCCACGTTCCTATTGTAGAAACCTGAAAGTCACTTTTGCAAAAACCCCACCCTCTCACCCGCTGTGTGACTGAAAGGGTCTAAAAGGCTTCCTGTGTCCTGTGCAGTTAAAGACTCCTACTCAGAAGCTGAGGCAGTTAGAGGTGACACGCGCCCATCTACAAGGTGCGCTTGGGATAGTCCGTGTTGGAGGATACCTCTTTTCTCGACCCACCTGAATCAGTGGTTTCCTTGCAGCTTTGATAGACACTTGATCAAAGGAACTCAAAGACTCATGGTTTGAGGGGACAGAGGTCACCATGGGGGGAAAGGTACGGTGGCAGGTGGCTCCCTAGCAGTGGGAATATGCAGCTCAGCTCTGAGGGCACAGGAAGCCGAGCTTAGCCGGGAACTATACCTGTCAAGATCCACCTCCAGTCATCCATCCACTTCCTCTATTGAGGCTCCACCTCCTAAAGGGTTCCACATGTGGGGATGTTCACAGGCTCACGTTCAAACCCTAACATCACTCTTGACATCTGAACTTCAACAAAGCCTGTCTTCCACAGGCGCAGCACACTTCAGCATCACCCCATGTGCCAACAGTCTCCATCAGACTGGGGAAGTAGTACCTCCTTCTGATGTCTTGTATGTCTGGGGGCAGACCCATGTCCTCCCACCCCAAGAACAACATTCCAGACACATGGGAGTGACCAGATGCTTACTAGGGCAATCCATGGGACAACTCACAGTTCCTGTTCTGGGCGAAGAGCTCTTGGGATGAAACATGTAAACTCTTGATTCAGGCCTGGTCACAGTACCCTACCTTGCAATACAAGTTGTTTAGGGCGATACCCCACAGGAAGGCCTTGGACAAAGGTGAGTGCTCATGGGGCTTTGTGGCTGCAGTGCTGAGCACTTCCCAGGCATGTAAACACAAGCCAGCCAGCCAGTCCCACTCCATCCAAAGGCACTGCAGACACCCAACTTGGAGACAGGTCAGGTGACCCAAACAGGTCCCAGGGCTGCACCTCACCCCAGGACATATAACATTACCCATGGCCTGATGCTGGGGACTCAGAGGGTTGTAGCTAGATACGGCTCATTGGCTATGAAGAGCAGAGAAAGGCGGAGAGCTCACACGGCTCGCCAGAGTGACTGGAGCAGCTCTCTTCCTTATGAAGCTGTCCCCCTCACCTGCTGTGTCTTTATGCTCTAAAGTTTTGTTTATAACCAGTGATAGGAACCTACCTCAAGGACATGGGACTAGCATTTTTAGAAAAGAAACTGCAGGGGCTGGAGAGATGGCTCAGCAGTTAAGGGCACTGGCTGTTCTTCTAGGACCAGGGTTCAACTTCCAACACCCACAGGACAGCTCATGCCTCTAACTCCAGTTCCAGGGGATCTGACACCTTCACACCAAAGCACATAAAATAAATTTAAATAAATTATTAAGAAAGAAAAGAAACTACAGACGAAAACTTTACAAGTCCGTCACACCAATACTGTATCACTACAAATTTTATTCAGAAACCCATCTTTGTTTTTTTTTGTTGTTTTTTAAAAAAAAAATCCCATTATGAACTGGCTTGTCAACCAACTACAACACTGTCTAGCAGACACACGATAAAAACAGCTCGGCTCAGAATCGCCCAGATCTCTCTCGGTCTCTCGACCGCCTCCTGTCACGCTCTCGTCCTCCACCACCTCCACCTCCTCCGCCGCCACCACGCCCACGGTCTCTGGATCGAGAACGCCGTTCCCGGGATCGGGACCTGGATCTATGCCTGGATCAAGGACAAGAATCAGCATCAGAGCACAGCACTGACAGAGGAGGCCAGCAGCTTCAAGCCAAGCATGGGACACACCCCAATTTTAGATGCTATCTTTAGGAAGGATGCACCTCCAAACCGAACATGTGTAATATACTCAGTATCCTATAGCTTTTACAACCAACCCAAATGCTGGGGGAAATCAGCACAGAACAGAGGCAGGATGGGCAGCAGTGAGGCCTGGATGCACACTCGGAAGACATCTACACTGACTTGCTGCTCACAGCCCTTCTCCAACCTGAACCACTCCTTGGGAATTGCTAGGCAGAGTCCATTAGGCTAATTTTTAGGGAGGAAGAGTTGCTTCTTGCTGACAATCAAAGCAATCTCAATAATATCTACTTCCTGAGCTATGTATATCAGGAGAGTGGGAGAGCTATCTAGATAGAACGAACCAGTGAACTCACTTAACTCACACTGACCCCTGCTCTGCGACACAGGGCCAGGAACAAGAGCACAGTGCCCATGTCAGCAATACAGTGGGATGGCCATGTATGCAAACCAGACAAGCTGCACACCACCCGAAACCCTGCAGGCCCGTGCAGGTCTGGAGCACAGGCGTCCCCTGTAGAGCAGGGCGAGCTTCTCCCAAGCATTTTGTATTTGAAGTAATGCACCAGATCTGAACACACATTAGGGAAGAGGCAATCCCAGGCCTGGTTTTCCTTGGCAATGGGAAGCCTCCCACTTCACCATGCACCCAGAGGACTCACTTTTTGCGCCGGCGCCCATACAGCTCCCGTCGCAGCTCTCTTGAGATTGGTTTCAGATGCATGAAGTTGCAAAAGCCCCCTCTTGTGCACTCTCTGTGGGTCAGATCCAGACATGTTACACTGTGCCCATGATGACTGAGCTCCACCCACCACACCAGAGCGGTGCTTATCCTTACCCCATTTCATACTGGCGGCAGCAGGCTTCCCTGAAGTCAGTTACTGGGGACAGCTCTGCATGGATTGGCTGCCCATTAAACCAACGGTTATTTAAGTCGATCACAGCTTTCTCTGCATCCTCCTCACGTCGAAACTGAAAAACCAAGAAAAAAGTGCTTGCCACTCCATTCCTGTGTTGCTAACGTTTAATTCTCCACCCCACCACTGTTCCACACACTCACTGAGGCAAACACTTATGGGCAGATGCAGTAAAACCTCACCAATCCTCCTCATGACAGACCCCCGGACAGCCTAAGATCACACCAAGTGTTGCCTACCTTTTCAAACCCAATCCACGAAGAGCAAATGTCAGATTGCTCCCATAGGGAGTTATTTCAGAAAAGGAAACAAAGTACACAGACTAATCTGTGCCAGTCCAAGCAGCTTTAACCCTAGTTAGTACTCTTCACTAAAGCCACAGCCACCAAGATGGCAACTCAGGACACCCCACTCGTCTGTACCTTGACATACACGTTCCCCACCAGGTGGTCTCCTAGGTTATCACAGACGTTCATCTCCTCAACCTCTCCGTACTTTTCTTCCATCTCAGTGAAGACTTCCTGAAGGGGAACATGGGTTGAGGAGCACTGTGCACAGTCTGGTATCTCATGGCCACCCTCCCATCTTGAGCCCAGGTACTTACCTCAAAGAACTCATCATAGTGCTCCTGCATCTCCACGTCGCTCACAGCACCTGCAGTCAAAGACACCCAGCTGGTGAGAGCCCTGTGGCCTTGCTATCCTCAAGCTCAACTGCTACAGTGACTGTCTAGAGGACGCCAGGCCAGAGCTGCATGCTACAGGAGCACCGAACTGCTTGTGATTTGGAGTTGCTGAGATCTTAAATGCCCACCAGCCTCAGTCCTGGCTACCAAAACCACAGCCAGCTTTAGTAGGTACCAAAAGGGTCACACAAAGTTCAAGGAAAAAGGTGACTCTTGAATTAAGACCTTTTAAAATAAAAATGTCTTCCTTTAAGACTGGAGGCCAGGTAAATACATGGTAGGTATTCCCCTTTATTAGGTCAAAATGGAAGCTGAAACCAGGGTGAGTGATATAAAGAGCTCACGTGCCTTTACACACGTGCCAACCACTGAATGCTACAAAATTCTGATGTGACTGAAACCCAAGCCACCAGACTTCAGCATTTTGGAAGTCTCTCTATACACAGTTAGACCTTGTTGAAGGTGTTCCCAACCGCTGCACCAAGGTTACTCTCCATAAGCCATGCGGTAAGTGAAGTCACGGCTGTTCACGAGCACTTTTGCCCAGTCTCAGTCTATTCCAATGATTACTCCCTCAACCTCACTCCGAGACCCCACAGAATTGGATGTCAATAAAATCACGTTCCAAACACTTGGGTGAGGAGGTGGCAAGGGCCCGACGAGGTTTGGGGGCCGTGCTGTTCAGGCTGGGTCTTCAACAACACCTTCTGTGAACCATATTCCTGGACAAGAGGAGAGCTCACAGGCCACTTGCCTCTTTTGGTGCATCACACCAAGGGCATCTGGCTGGGGCAGTATCTTGGGGCTCATTCAAAACTCATGGTATCTGAAGCGAAGATCTAACCTATGTTCTGATTCTGACAACTTCAGCTCCCTTTCTAACCTATCTGGGGTTGCTTTAGTTACTTTGAATTTCGAGGAAATGATATGTGGCCTGAAAACTCAAATTTTATTGAATGTGCTGGGCTCTCTTGACAGGAGCCTGCCCCATATGCGGTACCTGACCAAGCCTTCAGGAATGCCCCACCCTGCCTGAGAAGGAACAGGTCCCAGGCAACAGCAAATGGCTGAGAAGTCTGTTCCACAGGCAGCTAATGTCAAGGCCTTTTGCATCTGGGAGAATTTGGAAAGGAAAATACTCCCATGCTCAAAGCTCTAAGTTTTAGCAGCTCTGAAATCCATCTGGTGGTAGTTTAGACCGACAACTACTTACTCTGTTCCATTTCCCAGGACTCAAAACAACCCCAAAGGCCGAGGGCAGCCCACCCAGACACTGATCAGACTACAACAGTGGGCTCAGTGTATTTTGAACACAACTAGGAAATTACTACTTTTCTTGAAGAAATGTTATTCTTAAAACTGAGCTTTCTATTTAACTTTAGTTTGTGTATCTGAGGTTTATTTTTCTACAAATGTCAAAGTGGTAACTCATTTGCTCTAAAATGAAGGGTTAGTTTCATTTACTTTCTACAACCTGAACTCCAGGAGTGGAAGATTTCATAAGAGCTGAACATTCAGTTGACAGTATACCCAAACACACTGTGAATTGCAAATAGACAGCAAACACAACATCCTGTCAGTAAGCAGAGTCCCCAAGTAAACAAGCAGGCAAAGAACAATCACTGTTACCAACCACGGTTTCCATTTGCTATACCCCAGGGCAGGGACAAGAACAAACGTTACTTCATAAAGCCACACACAAACACCTCCCTCCTCCTACAGATCTTACTTCTAAAGATAAAATAAATGCACCAAGTATTTGAACCGAGGATTACCAGGTAAACGCTATCTCACTTAAGAGAGCTCTACTGTCAGGTCAGCACCTCAGCAGGGAAACCTATGGAAAGCCCGATCCACAGACACGTGCACCAGAGGCCTCCCAGCCTGGCCAGCTCCAGCAGGCGGTGGCCCTGGGACCATTTATTACCCAAGGTAAGCCAGCCAACAGATGGAGGTTGCCCTCAGAGGTGTGCTGGATTTAGCCTGTGGCCATCCAAGGGGAGTCTACCTTGGGGTTGGATGCGACTGCACCCCAGTATTTCACTGTAGAACAGTTATCACTTAAATATAGTAATTCGCAGCACATGAAGACTCTGCAGTGTTTACTGATGCCAGTTTAACCCTTCCTTAATTACCAAATGTAGCACACTACCTCCTGAAGCTTGAGGTGCTACCTATGCAAAGTGGGTGGCTGGACCCCGAGCATCTCTTCTGTTGAGTGCTCATCTGGTTAGCACACCTGCAGGGGTGCAGCGGGAACACTCAGGTCAGTGCGAGCTGCAGACCCTCACCTGGGAAACACTCAGAACAAGGCCCTCACGCAAGAGCATGACCTCTGACGTGCAGAGTGTATGGAAATGAGGCTAGTGAAAGGTACAATCTGAAAATTTCTAAGCAATTGGCACTCAGGTTCCAGAGAGTGAGAGCCATTCCGATGCCCCTGCTCTTCAGAGGGAAGAGCAGACCTCGAACTCAATCCCAGTGCATCCCAGGGTGACGGTCCAAGTGCGGAGGGAGCAAAGAGCAGCAGTCCCAACTACTTCAAGGGTGCCCTCGCCAGTCCTGCCATCCTCTGCCTAAGGGACAGGAGTCCAGCTCTCCAGCAGGTCAGTGGGGGCAACAGCTCCTGCCACTCTAGGAAGGCGGTTCTTGACACTAGCAGAGCAGACCGGGTGGAGTGGACACTGAGCTCTGACACGCAAGCCCAGGGGACCAGGGAAGGAACTTGTATGAACTTACAGCGCAAACCGTCAGCAGACTGGGAAGAGTTTTGAGGGTTACGGTAAATGTTCAAGAGGGCAATGGTCTGAAATACAAAACGCAACAACTTTATATTATGGAAATTAAATGTACACACTTAACCGGCTGCCTGTGACGATCCTTCAGTTGAGTCGGTGCTGAAAAGAGAGCAGGTTATTGCCCTAACGCAGAGGTGTCCCCTTAGTTGGTGGCTGTCTTGAACTACGCTAACACTGCAGTGCTGGGAGATCTCATGAGATGCCAATATCGCACTTCTGCCCACAGCGGACTCTCCACTGCCAAGTGCCAGCCAAGCAAGGACGGCACCGGCTCTTAGCTGACAGACTGAGGAAAAGCTCACACCTGCGACGAACCGAGCGCTGTACCAGAGAAATACAATAATCTCATGTCATGAAATCTCCACTTCCTAGAGGAAAAATAACGGTGAAATCAAACCCACACTTACTGGGCAACTTACCTTAAGATTCCTACATTTTAACTTTACACAAAGAACTTAAGGAAGGCCAGGGTTCAGTCACTGTAAAGCCGCAATTGGCTACCCGGGTGAAAACCCGCTTCCTGTGGGCGGACACTCTCGTGACAAACGCTAGTCAACAGGAGAGGCCGGCCAGTGACTTTCCCTAGGAGAAGCGCCTCCTGAGCGCGGCCCCTGTCAAGTTCTGGCTGTGCGCCACGCGGTTCCAGCACTGTGTCCTGTTTGCAACAGCTCTATGTCAGCAGCTCAGAGCCAGCGTTAGGTCTCAATTAAGAGTGGGCTCTTGAACACCATCGTTTAAAAAAATTTCTCCAACTGTGGGACTTACAGTGTGAGCCGTCAGCCGTCTGTGCACTGTTTTGGGGATTACGATAGATGTTTTGAATCAAGATGGTCTGCGGGGAAAAAAAAAATAAAAAGGGGAATTCTACTGGCTGCTGTGCATATATTAGACAATTGCAAAGAGACAGTTTGTTTGCAAACGGTTAACGTTTGTTTGTTGTTTTTCTCACAAGTCAGACACTTGTGTCTTGTGCCAAGTACACCAAAACCATCATATTATGAAAACAGAGTTTGAGCAGTGACTTGGGTCAAGTCAGCCAGCAACCAAGAAGGAACTGTATCTGTTCTTTTGAGTGGTCCCCGTCACCAATAATAAGGTGCTTCAATACAAGAGAAGAGAACACTAACACTTTCTTGTACTTCAAGTCAGCACACACGAACATATTGAAAGGTCACATAATCATCAGATTCCCCACACAGTTATCTCTCTTAAACAAATGCACACTTCAATTGTATGCAGTACTCAAGATCTCTGGTCTCTTAGCAAAACAGCCACACCAGTTGTCGTGGATACCTGACTCTTATTTACACTTTCTTGGTGGGTCTCTGTTTACATAATACAATAGTTAAAACATTAGCTCTTTTGCGATCCTTCTTTTAAGGAAAAAATCCTTTTAGCCTTTGTGCTTTAACGGGATCAGGCAGACTTGAAACCTTACACTGTACCGTTCTTCTTAAAATCAAGTTGTCTGAAAAAACAAACCATGTTTAAGTTAGTAAGCTAATATAGTACAGCAATCTCACGTCCACATCACTATGAGCTTACAAAGAAACCCACCCTGAATTACACTACAATTATGCAGGCCAACAGACCGTGTGACCCAGAGCACAGACAGTCTCTCAACACCGTGCCAGAAAGAAAGCCGTTCTAAGTGCTCCTCAGACCAGCGAGCTCAGCTCCCGCCTGTGCTCACAGGGTGTAGGTGAGGAACAGTGTTTGGGACACGGCTGCTGCTGGAACCCACCTGGGAACAAGGCTGAAAACCTCAGACCACACGCCCTTACCCACTGAGCTAAGCAGTCCTACCACCCTGGGTCTGCACCTCCGGAGGTTTGCCAGAGCTAACTTTACCAAGCTTCCTACTGGGGGCATGGTGGCGAATGGATGCCTGGTCCCTGTAGGTCTCCCCTGTCCTGAGGCATACAAGGGCTGTTTGTTGGAGGGAAAGCAGTGTCAACCCAACTGAGATAATCACTGTAGTGCCTCTGAGCTCCTTATATTACACGGGGCCCTGCCCTCCCTGCTGTGTTCTAGGCCACAGTGCTAGGGCCACCGGAGGCAACCGTGGGACAGTAAAGGCCTTCTGGCTCAGAGGGCTGAGAACAGTCTCTTTCTACCCACCACCTCACATGCCTGTTAACTACCCACAGACACACTAAAGGCATGCAGAGTCAGCAGCCTATAACCACTGGGTCAGGTGGGAGATTGTGTTAATAGTCAAACAACACACTCATGACACGACAGTTTAAAGCAGGGAGTATTGCTTTGATAGTATTAAAATTCACAAAAAGAAAGGGACATCATTAGGGTCATTAGAGGACAGATGCCTCCTACACTAACCATGGTTAGCCAGGGATAATTGGGAAGAAAAATTACTGTGCTCTTCCCTCTAAAAACATACAATGCTGTGGTTCCTGGGGACTTACATTCTATACCAAGGTCCCTTTCTTCTATCTCCTTGTTATCAACTGGCTAATTTCTTATACTCCCAATACAGTATTAAGACGGGCAAAATGTGTGAAAGAAAAACTGTATGCTAAAAAAGACGTATCCGAAGCTTCGAGGGCTGCTGCAAGCAGGCCTGGGCTGGAGAATGAACTCAACTGTCCAATTTAGACAGACTCAGCAAGACCTTCCAATCTTCGCCCTCTTAATTCATTTAGCAAGCCTCTGCTGGGACCAATCCTTGCCTCCCTCTCCCAGCTCTACCAAACCAAATAACGTGGGACTGAGTCTAACGTGGGCAGACCTAGGTCTAAGATGACAAGCACCTCTCAGTGAACTGGACAGATCCCCGGGGCAATTTATGCCCATCTTTATCGTTAAAATTCTATGATCATGATGTGCCCTGAAACTGTGTCAAAGTGTGGACCTCTCTGGGGTACTAGAGCACGCTGGGCCCACTGACAAACACCCATGCCAGCATGCCTTGCCCAGCAACTGCATCTCTCTGCACCCACCAGCATTTATCTGAAGGTAGAACAGGGCGGTGAGGCCAGCCTCAGCCAAGTCTCGACTATATTTTAAGAAGCTAAAGCTAAGAACAGCAGGACTTTCCACTGGGGTGGGATGGGTCCATCACCCTCTGCAACAAGTGCAAAAGACAACTAGGGAAAAAAGGACTTGCTACGTCCGAGGAAACATCCATCGCCTCTGAAAGCACAAGAACTTTTGACAGTTTATGTGGGGAAAAAAAAAAGCCCAACAACACACAAACCTGGCTAAAGGTCGGTTTATTGTGCAACCGAGAACATCTGTCTCCATGACGACATGCTCCAATTTTGAAATAAAATGAACAGTTGACTCTGTAAGGGAAAATAAGAACTGATTATTTCTGGGAAGATATGATGAAAACATCATTAACACGATCCTATTTCCCAGCTACTTGTCTTCCAATCACAGAAGTTCGGCAGCTCTTGGTGGCTGTGTTTCCTCTTGCAGGCAGTATGTTAGAGGCCGCAACTCCAGCTCCTTACAGAATGGTCTAATTCTAACCTGCTTCCTGTTGCTCTAAGCCCCACTCACTCTTTGGGTCCTGGATGTTAGCACCTATAAAATGAGGACAATGCAAAGAGGCACTGTTCCAAGAACTGAGTGAGATTATGTATTCTTATTCACAGGCCTAAGTGCTGCCATTATCTCAAGAAAACACAAAACAAACTCAGGTTTGGAGAGGAAAGGTCTTTGGAAACCTCATTGCAAACATGCTATTTGGAGACCTAGCTTGCCTCAGAAACCATCCAGGAACACATGCCGGCCACAAAGCCTCTTTAGCACTGCTCAGATACTCCATGAAAGCACAAGCAACAACACCCATCAGGTGCTGGGTGGTCTGCAAGATCTGTGACATCAACTTCTACTTGATGCGGCTTCCCTACTGGGTTGCCAGGTGCAGAGGGAGGAATGCTGTTCCACAGATACTGTTAGCAAGAGCCACATGCTTAAGTCTTCACCCTGAGGGAAAGACTGAAGGTCTCAACCTCATGAAACCTGGAACTGTGAAGTGTTATCCTCTAGTTATGAGCAGACAGCAACAAATACAGTAGAGTCTGTGAGTTTATCGGGAGAGGAAAATGATTGCAAATGACCTCCTTACTTTACATAACCTCATTTGATTAGACAGTATCTCTTTAGAAAATCAACTGAGGGCTGGAGAGATGGCTCAGCAGTTAGGAGCACTGGCTGTTTTTCCAGAGAACTGGAGTTCAATTCCCAGCACCCACATGGCAGCTCGCAACTGTGTGTAACTCCAGTTCCAGAGGATCTAACACCCTCACACAGATATACACGGAAGCAAAACAACAATTCACATAAAATAGTTTTTAAAAAAAGGTGTGTGTGTGGGGGGGGATCAACTGACAATAAAGAGCTTGCTGGACAAACTTCTGACTGAAAACACACAACAGTTCCACATCAAATAGCTCTCAATCCCGCACTCTCAGCAAGTACTTTTGCTTCAGTTAATTATCTAAACTACTGAAATAAAACTACAAGGAAGCCGGACACACACCTCTAATCCCAGCACTCGGGAGGCAGAGGCAGGCAGATCTCTGAGTTTGAGACCAGCCTGGTTTAGAAATCAAGTTCCAGAACAGCCAGGGCTACACAGAGAAACCCTATCTTGGCAGTGTGTCGGGGTGGGTGGGGGGAGTACAAGGAAGAAGGGTGATTTCTACCAGACAAACCGAATCTAGGAAAATATCATAGTTTATAAATATCACAGCTAAATATTTGATTGGAAAAGACCCATACTTTACTTCTTAAAAACCCAAAAAGTTGCCGGGTGGTGGCGGCACATGCCTTTAATCCCTGTGAGTTTGAGGCCAGCCTGGTCTACAGAGTGAGTTCCAGGACAGTCAGGACTGTTACACAGAGAAACCCTATCTCAAAAAACCAAAACCAACCAAACAAAAAACCCCTAACAACAACAACAACAACAACAACAACAACACCAAACCCCAAAGTTAACAGGCACCCCATGTTTCTGTTACTGTTCCTCCTGAAATAACCTGGATTAAAAATTAAAAAAAAAAAATCTGAATTTTTTTTTTTTTTTTTGCTGAAATACCCCTTTACTACACAGACATGAATGCGGGGGTCACAACTACTATGCCCCTGGTTTTTAAGTCGCAACCTTTATGCACTTCCTCAGGACAACCTCTCGTGTCAGAACTGTCATACACATTTCACTCCATTCCAGGAGTGATCTCAGGATTTAGAAAACGCACTCTCAGCCGGGCGGTGGTGGTGGTGCATGCCTTTAATCCCAGCACTCACGAGGCAGAGCCAGGCAGACCTCTGTGAGTTCCAGGCCAGCCTGGTCTACAGAGCTAGTTCCAGGACAGACACCAAAACAACACAGAGAAACTCTGTCTTGAAAACCAAAAAGAAAAAAAAGCACTCTCCCAAAGTACTTATTTATTGAGACAAGGTCTCTATGTAGTTCTGGTTGTCCTGTAACTTGCTATGTAGACCAGACTAGCCTGAAACTCAAGAGGTCGTCTGCCTTCCTCTGCCTCTGGAGTGCTGAGACTAAAGGCATGTACCACCACATCTGGCTTTGAACGTTTATTTTAAAGTACTTTACAGGTTTTATTTTAAATTATGTACATGTGGCCAGGCGGTGGTGGCACAAGCCTTTAATCCCAGCACTCGGGAGGCAGAGCCAGGCGGATCTCTGTGAGTTCGAGGCCAGCCTGGTCTACAGAGCGAGATCCAGAACAGGCACCAAAGCTACACAGAGAAACCCTGTCTTGAAAAACCAAAAAATTATGTACATGTGGCTGGGCAGTGGTGGCTCACGCCTTTAATCTCAGCACTCAGGTAGCAGAGGCAGGTGGATCTCTGTGAATTCAAGACCAGCCTAGTCTACAGAGTGAGTTCCAGGACAGCCAGAGCTACAAAGAGAAACCCTGTATGAAAAAAATTAAAAAGTGTATGTGAGGGAGGGTGGATGTGTATACCTAAGCGCAGGTGCCTGTGGTAGCCAGAGACAATGGATCTCCCCAGATCTGGAGTTACAGGTGGTTGTGAGACACCAGATTACATGAAGCAGATTTGGGGAACCAAACTCCTGGCCTCTGCAAGAGCAGTTCACACTCTGAACCACTGAATCGTCTCTGTCTCTTTAATATATTTTAGACTTCCTTAACACAACACATACAGCCTTCCTCCATGACTTCCTGAGAACCCAAAACTTTATCCCATTTCTCTAAGACTGGCCTAGACCTGACACCCAGTAAAATGTCTCTACAGTGACTGCCGATTTGGGCAGGAGACTTTCAGAATCATTCCCTTTTGCAAACACAGCAGATTCTATCTGTACAAAGGTGCCTGATCCATCCTGGAAAGTAGAACATTTTCAACAGTGAGACCAATGTGGCACCAAAAGTGTTATCTATTGCAAATACAGGCTTTCCATCACAGATATCTGTATAAACCTTATACGAGATTCAAGAACACCAAAATGGTGACTACTTACTCAGAGCAGATTAAGCCACACACTTAATCTTTAGGTTTTCAAGGTAGGAATTATCCTTCAAAGCATCTTAAGACATTTCCTTTAGCCTAAACTTCAGCCAGCACACTGGAAATAAGTATGTGCCACGGTGGCATACAAATACAACCGGAATTATTGGGTTTTTTCCTCTTAACCCATGCAAACCTTAATTTAAATAGAAAAGCAGGTCCGCCAACGCTTGGGCAGTCAGGAGGTTTATTCCGTCGATACCGCTCCCAATGATCAGCCCCGGCGACTGAGTTTTAGCGAGGGTGGTGCCACCGCACTTCCGACACGACACTCAAAGCCCAAAGTTCCAAGAAACGTGTTAACTCGCCGCAGAAGCCAGGGCTGCAGTGGGAGCGCGGCGTGGAGCAGAGTCCCGCGTGGAACCCGGCGCGGAGCCCCGTGGAGCGCGAGGCCCAGCCCGAGCCGCCCGCCAGGTCCCGCCGCCCGGCCCACGAGGCAGCGGCGCCCAGGCGCGCGAGGCCACCAGGGCCTCCCCGCCCGCCACGTCTGAACGCCGCCGTCGCTTGCCTCGGCTGGCACCCGGTGCCCATCGCCGCCCCGGCCCAAGCCCCGGCAGGCCGCCCCTACTCACTTGTCTTTCTCGGTGCCGAAGATGGAGGCCAAGTATTCCGCCATTTTCCAGCGGACGCCTCCGACACGGCAGCCGACGCTGCCTACTATCCCGACGTCCTCGGAAGACGTCACCGGACGCGACGACGCTCTCCACGCCCGTCGTAGCGGCGCCGTCCAATTGGGAGAGGCGCTGCCTGCGCGGGGGCGGGACGAAGAACGCACGGAGGCACCGCCCCCGACCCTGGCGCCTGCGCACTCCCTGCCGCCCGGGCGGGTCCCGCGCGCTGCTCGCTGCCTGGGCAGCGAACTGCTGCTCCGCGCGTGCTCAGCGCCGCGGTTTCCCGCTCCCGCCGCTGGGACCGCGCCTTCTCCCTTTGCTGGCCCTCCTGCCCCAGGCCTCTCACTGGTGCGGCTGTAGACAAGGGCCCCCATCCGGCTTCCTGGAGGGATTTAAACCTACAGCATCCCCACAGTCACCAGCAGTTTGACCAGTCTTCTGTCCTCCTACCCGTCCGTTCACCCTCATTCATTAATCCACCCAACTATCTACTCATGTCTCACTCATTAATCCACCTATCCGTGTCACATCTATTTATCTCTTATTTGGAGACATTAAGAGAACAAGCCCTGGGACAGGTATATAGACACAGACTACTGTGATGTTGTTTTATTGTGCGTGTTTTGTTTTTCTCCAGGAGAGATGGTCTCATGTATGCAGTAGGCTATATGGCTACTATGTACAGCTACTGATGACCTTGAACTTCTGATCTTTCTGAACCTTTACTTGAATGTTAGGGTTACAGGTGTGCATTACCAATCAGGTTTATGTGATCAAGCCCAGAACTCTGTGTGTGTTAAGCAAGCACTTTACTAACTGTGCTTCATCCCCAGCCTTGGCTGGTGTGGTGTTTAATCTTCAAGTCAACTTCACTAGATTGTGGAGAAGAGACATCTCTGGGTATGTCTGTGAGGACAGCAACAGTCACTTCATACTCCTTCATACATTCCCCACCATGATGGACTCTATCCCTTCAACTATGAGGCAAAATAAACCTGTAAGCTGATTCTTGTCAGCCACTAGGTTATTGCTACTGTAAAAGTAACTAATTCACCTGGGATGACAGATGCTCATTTGGAAGTCCCAGCAATTGGTCCAGCTGACAGAGCCTTCGGAAGAACACAGAGACCTGATGATATCAGTTCCTGCTAGTGGTCCTCCAGGGCTCCCAGGCCCCTGAACACATAGTCACCTTTCCACTTCTTGTCTGTACACTCTTACTTGCATGCCTTTTTTTTTTTTTTTTGCCTCCTAAGTGCTGGGATTAAAAGCACTCGAACCCCCATAACCCCCACTGACTGGTTAATGTTACCTGTACACTGTATTTCCATTTGTTCATGGGCTCAGCTGCATCTAGAACTTCATACTCATTGGGTGCTCATGAAACCACAGCTACCATCCTCAGTGAGTGGGACTCTGTGTATGTTACATCTGGCACTTCTTCTAAACTGTGACTATAGGGGACAGAGAAAGCATCAGTCCCCTAGAACTGGAGCTACAGATGACTGTGAGTAGCCATGTGGGTGCTAGGAATCATATCCTGGTCTTCTGGAAGAGCAGCCAGTGCTCTTAACCGCTGGGCCATCTCTCCAGCCCAAACGTGTGTGTATGCTTTAAAGGGTTTTTTAGAATTAATTTTTCTGAGATAGGATTTCACTATGTTGCTCAGGCTGGCCTTCAAGTTTGGGCTCAAGTGATACCCCCGCCTCAGCCTTCAGAGTAGCTGGGATACAGGTGTGGGCCACCGCACCTGGCTAGTGTGTTTTAATTTTCAAAATGTATTTGTCTTTTTGTGGCCTGGAGCATAATTGCACTATGAATATATTTTTAAAAAATAAATGAATGAATATATTTTTTAAAAAGCCAAGCCGGGCGACGGTGGTGCACGCCTTTGATCCCAGCACTTGGGAGGCAGAACCAGGTGGATCCCTGCGAGTTCAAGGCCAGCCTGGTCTACAGAACGAGATCCAGGACAGGCACTAAAACTACACAGAGAAACCCTGTCTCAAAAAACAAACAAACAAAAAAAAAGCCAAATGAACCCCATTGCTCACTGGGAGGACTTGCAGAAATGTTGTCTTTACCAGAAAGCAGCAAATATGAATGAAATCCCTCTCATTTAGGAGGCCAGAAGAAGCAGTCTAAGTTTTATAGCAATGATAATGACTAAGAGTCACTGAAAAATGGAAAGTTCAAGCTGGCTTTGGTACTAAATCTATAATCACAGCTACTCTGGAGGCTGAATCAGGAGGTTCAAAAACTCAAGGCCTTCTTGGGCAACTTAGTGACTGATTTCAAGTGCATAAAGTTTTAAAAGGGGCTGGAAAGCTGCGTGTTAATGCACACATTTAACCCCATGCTCAGGAGGCAGAGACTCCCAAGGGCCAGCCTGCTCTACATGGGTAATTACAGACCAGACAGGGCTACATAGTGAGATCTTCCAAAAAAGAGGGAGGCATGCTGGGCACAGAACTCGGTGATACAAATGTTTGTTTACCATTCATGAGGCCCAGGTTCAATCTCCAGTTTGTTTGTTTGTTTGTTTTAAGATACAGATAAATGAGCTGGGCGGTGGCGGCACATGCCTTTGATCTCAGCACTCAGAGGTAGAGGCAGGCAGGTCTCTGAATTTGAGGCCAGCCTGGTCTACAGAGCAAGGTCAGCCAGGGCTAGATAGAGAAAGCCTGTCTCGAGGGGCGGGGGGGAAGATACAGATAAATGGAATTTATAAGTGCATATGTGGGAATATCTTTGCCAGTACTGGAGCTGGCAATGAGAATGCCACCATATGCCAGGGAGTGGTGTGCTGGTCATGACAAGCTGCAAAACAGCAGAAGCAGTTGAACTTTAAAGGTAAGCATGAATATGAAGAAGTGCTGAGATGAAAAGCAACCTGCCTGGATGGAAAGTTTCCTACCCAGAAGCCGCTGAAAACCACACCGGCAGGTTTTCTGTGAATCTGCCGCATGAAAACTAGGGTTTGAGCGAGTGCCAGGGGCTGAGGAGGCAGCTTGCTGGCTCGGTTTCTAGTCAGGCAGGGTGGGCTAAGAGAGGAACAACAGGTGCCACGGAGAAGCTGGCAGGGCGGAAAAGGCCACAGGTGTGAACGCAGGCACTTTGCCTCCCATGCGAAGGAAACCAGGAAACGTTCCCTGCCTGGCTCTTGTGTAAGTGCCATGAATTCCTAACAGATAAGCTGTAAGATGGCACGGAAGAAAACCCAGCCTTTGGTATTCTGCACAGCCGCTCGACACCATCCATCCCTTCCTGAATGTCTTTTGAATAGTCATGTTTCTGACATTTACTTTCCCTCTCTTTGTGAAAGGGAGTTTTATAGCTTGTAAGAAGAGGGAAGACAAACACCTTGGGAAGTATTAGGATGTCCCACCACTGATAGATAGATAGATATTGGCCCAGCCTTTGCAAGATCAATATCAACACCAGCACTTCCATAACTCCAAGTGTTTAGACAATCGGTTAGCCCCATCATGCTTGCATAGCCTCTGAGCCAAAACAATTCTTTTTGTTTTTATTATTTATTTATTTATTTTTATTTATTTATTTTTTTTTTGAGACAAGGTTTCTCTGTGTAGTCCTTTCTGTCCTGGAGCTTACTGTGTAGACTGGGCTGACCTTGAACTCGGAGATCCATTTGGTCCTGCCTACCACATGCTGGAATTAAAGGCAAGCAGCAGTACCACCACACTCTTTCTGTTTTTAAAGACACTGCCATATGTCCCAGATGGCCCATGAATTTGCTCTATAGCTGAGGGTGTCCTTGAACTCCTGATCCTCCTGCCTCTGCCTGTGTGCTGGGATTGCAAACCTGCACCACCACTCCCGGGCTTCACACATGACAGGCAAATGCTCTACTAAACGGACTACATTTCCCAGGACCAGGGGTGGTGGACTGCCTTCCTTACCTCCAAAGCTCATCACACAAAGACACAGGAACAGAAAACATTGCATTTTGTTTTTCTTTTTGGTTTTTTGAGACAGGATTTTTCTGTGTACCAGTCCTGGCTGTCCTGGATCTCACTCTGTAGACCAGGCTGGCCTCGAACTCACTGAGATCTGCCTGCCTCTGCCTCCCAAGTGCTGGGGTTAAAGGTGTGTGTCACCACCGCCCGTCTGAGAAAACACTGAATTTATACAAAAAGCACCTCACATTGTTCTTGGACGGTGAAGAACTTGCCAGAATGAGTTCGCCATGGGTGAGAATGAGGAGGAGTGGGAGGATGAAAAGTATGGGGGGTGGGAGCTCCCACAGACTGTACGGTAAGATCATGTGACCTGCTTGTGCAAAGATTCTGGGTAAGCAGGGCACGCTGGATTCTTCTATTATTTTGTTTTGTTTTGTTTTGTTTCAGACAGGGTTTCTCTGTGTAGTTTTGGTGCCTGTCCTGGATCTCACTCTGTAGACCAGGCTGGCCTCGAACTCACAGAGATCAGCCTGCCTCTGCCTCCCAAGTGCTGGGATTAAAGGCCACCCAGCTGGGTTCTTCTATTGTTATTTCTCTATTTTGATTTATTTATTTGTTTATTTATTTATTTATTTATTTATTTATTTATTTATTTTTATTTATTTTTTTTGGTTTTTCGAGACAGGGTTTCTCTGTGTAGCTTTGCGCCTTTCCTGGAACTCACTTGGTAGTCCAGGCTGGCCTCGAACTCACAGAGATCCGCCTGGCTCTGCCTCCCGAGTGCTGGGATTAAAGGCGTGTGCCACCACCGCCCGGCGGCACACAACTTTAACTCCAGCACTCAGGAGGCAGAAGCGGGTGGATCTGAGTTTGAGGCCAGCCTGGCCTATAGAGCAAGTTCTAGGACAGCAGGAGTCACACAGAGAAACCCTGTTCTGAAAAAAACAAAACAAACAAAGAAAATAGCCCAGGCCAGGCATGGTGGTGCACGACTTTAATCCCAGCACTCAGGAGGCAGAGGCAGGTGGATCATTGTGAGTTTTAGTGTACATAGTTAGTTCTAGGACAGCCAGGGCTACACAGAGAAACCACCAAACCAGCCTAGGTCTGGACCGGTGGTGCGTGACTTTAATCTCAGAACTCAAAAAGGAGGGGCAGTAGAGTCTCTGTT